GGAGAGAGGGGGGAGAGAGAGTAGGAGAAGAAAACCAAACTCGCAAATTACATGAATACTATTGCACGGACGATTGTCTACGAGAGTCTATTGGCCTTTGGACAAGTACCGTGACTGGGGAGGGCAGGAAGGATTTGAGGGAAGGGATTTGGAAGTCTGCTCCTTTTCTGAAACTTTTGCGTTAAGAAGAATGTGTTTGGTGGCAGAGGAGGAGGAGGTGTCAGGGGGCTGACGAGCAGTCAGGCGCGTAAGGAGGTGGAAGTACTTGAAGGATACTCCTCATCCGAGATGGGACGTCTGTAAAGGAGCATGCATGGGGCGACAGCGGGGCGATCACATCAACAATTTCGGAGCAGCTGCAATGTAGTGAATCTCATTCTCATTTCCTCCCCCACCAGCTTGTAACCTACCCTTTCTCCCCCTCTGAGCAAATACTCTCCCCCAGCCAGAAAAAAAAAAAAAAAAATTGAAGTAGGAAAAAAGAATTAGGTATAAGGCACAACTAAATAATAACAATTACAAGGAAGAAATATATAGGCCTGAGTGTCATAATTGTCTTCCCGGTCTTCTTCGTACTTCCTCCTTACGCGTCTGATTTTGTTATAACTTTCAGAAAATGCCTAGAGTGGTACATTAGCGTTGGCACAAGATGGTTGATTCGACACTAATGTTAGAGGGGCGATGCGGCATTTAGCCCTCAAACTTCACACGCCTCTGAAAACCGTTATGGCAGCCCGACAAAAACTCAATGAAGGATACCCAAATAAAGGTAGCAACGAAATGGTGATCGAAGAGGAAATACTTACCACAAAAGAAAAAGAGGAACTTCAAGAAGAAGAGCACAACGCACAGTCTGTCTTGCAGGGGAACATGACACCTACTTCATCTGCTTTAGTCCCTGTGATCAACCCACACCATAACCAAAATGAGGCAATGACTGCCCTGGCTCAAGGGGGAACTCTAATCGTGAACCCCCTTTTCATTCAGGTGCTTGGAACAGGGACGCAAGCGGTCGAACAAGGTTCATTCCAGAAGGAAATGTCCACATCAGCAGAAATTCAAGGTAAATCAGTAACAATAGTTGCAGGGGGACAAAGACAGATGTTGGCTCAGAACATCCTTAAGAAACAATGTGGGGAATGTGGGATAGGGGAAAGGAAGCAAGGGGAAGCCAAAGAGGAAGGACGGCAATTGGTTCGTGGATGAGTCAGAGGGAGAGGTAGGCATTGGGAAGCAACAAAACGAAGTGGAGGAGGAAGGGGTGGGAGAGGAGATGGAAAAAATAGAGTCGTATTGGAAGGCAGCAGAGGTAAAGGGGGACAAGATCAAAGAACGGAAGGGGGGATGGATTTGGATAGAGGGGGACAAAACAAGGAAGGAGGGAAGGAAAATATTGAGATACATAAAACTGTCACCCCTTCCTTGCCTCCTGTTCCCCCTCCCACAGACCTTTCAATAGAGGGGCAACCGAAAGGATCTCGGTCTCCTTGGATTCGCTGCGTGAAGGGGCCTTTTCAGACAAAGACTCTGGAAATCAAGAGGCAAGGGCCTCAAGCGCAACCTTTGCGCATTCCCTTGTACAATCTCCCAACAACGAAAGCTTTTTTTTTTGTCCAAATTTATAATAGCATCCAAAGAAAAGGTAATAGAATTAGGGGGGGGGAGGGAATCCATGGTTAAAACATATCCTATGCAGAAGTTGTCAGAAAGGGATTCTATCTATCATGCACATGCAAACAATTGTGTTTTTTTATGACGATGCCGCATATAAATCCACTAATGAGAAAATCAAGTGGATCTGCAAAAGACTGACATATCTCAAAGGTAGCTACGAAGCAATGAACGAAGAGTTTCTTATTCAACCGGTGTCGGCAACAATGTTCACTGTGTTATCATTGTACGAGGAAGATAAAAACGCTATAGATGATTGGAGAAAACAGAGGTGTGATATATCAGAGGTTCGAATCTATCCCTGGACGCCACAAAAGCAGGGACCAGAGTAAAAGCAGACACAAATGATGTAGGATTTTTATTGGGTTGAGTTCCGTCATATTCCAATAGAAATCCAGATCGCTTTCATTCAGGATTTTGAGAAAATGTATGATGTGGTCGATTTTATAGATCCTCTCCCAACTTTTGCAGCACGCAGGGATGCTTATTTGAAGCTCGCCCTCAATCACCCGACAAATGTTCCGTTCAATTTGGATTATGTCATTCCTTACCGCATAGGTGGGAGGGAATACCACATTCACACTACTCATAAACTGAGATCGTGGTGTTTTAGGTGCAAAGTTTATGACCACCTGAGTTCTGATACAAATTGTGAACAAAGTCCGCAAAAAAAAAAAAAAAAAAACTACAACTAGGCTAATTAGAGACTAATTTAGACAATTTTTATGAAGGACAGTGGATGTTGGTCATGAGGGGTGGGTATACATAGAGAGTACCCGAAAGGGAGACCCCCGAAAATGATGGACATGAGAAAGAGAAGAGGATCTCAATTTAGACACAAAACCTCCCAACAGTTGGGTTCCCTAGAGATGACCAGCAAATCACCGCTTTATCCAACTACTAATCCAGGGGCACAAGGGAACACAGCCCCCGGTTTAGCCCTGGGAATATCTGGTACCTCAGGTACCTCAAGTACTTCAGAGGGGCCAGTGTTGAAAGACAAGGAGCAAATCTACAAAATGGGGGGCTTGAGGGTGGGTTTATCTGGAGCCTCTCCGAATCCAAAAGATCCAGCGAGAGTCCAAGGAACAACAGAGGCCCAGGGGGTGCAGGTGTCTGAGATACGCAGGTCAACTAGCTAAGGTTCAGACAGAGGTCTAGGGAACAGGAAGACCGTTGTCGGCGCGAATACCCTTACAAGGGTATCCGCCCTGGTTTCTGCAGATGACAGGAGAAATGGGTTTGGTCAAAATAAGCAGTGCGAGGCACGACCTCGTCCGGGACCCGCCTTGACTAAGTTAGGAGGTATGTGGGCGTGTAGTTTTAGGGCGCACGTGTGATTTTTTTGATTGAGTGGGCGGCCGCTCTAGTCGACCGACTCGGACCGGGTTACGGATTTGGTTAAGGAATAAAAATTTGATTTTGGTTGGCACGCGCGGCCGGCGTTAGGACTGGCGCGCCGGTAGGCGCGCGGGATGGCCATGGCGCGG